TTGGAGTGACATCTTAAATCAATACAGTTACAATCAATATAGTTACATCTAGAGAGGCCTGTTAGCTTTGGGATTTAAGTTCAATATTTTGTTTATATGGTACCAGGAAATGAAACTGAATTGATGCATGTGTTATCTCCACAGATGAGGTTAAAAAATACATTCTGTTATTTCAAGATGTGTTAGAGAAAATTTAAAGTGTGTTCCAATACGATTGCAGAAACCAGTACACACGAAACTGGAGTCACTACTTAGAACATGATGATATAGACCATCTGGGAATGAAGAACTAGGTTGATACATTGTGTAACAAACTACCCTGGACCCCTATGATTCTCCTAAGCCCAAGTAATTTTTCCCTTTATTTGGTAGTTTTGTCTACCGAATGGAGACCACACCCTGGCTCATTATCTTCAAAGTAACCACAAAGTTAAGTGCTCTCCTGGGCAGCCGCCATTCATTTAACCGAAAAGACGTGCGCTGGAAAATGGTAGCCATCTTGTCTCCCGAAAGCAGTCAGCAGTATTTGGTTGTTGAGTGTCTGCAACTCCAAGCTGGACACTCTAACTCGCGAACCCAGGCAACTTTGTACCGCCGCTTGTTTCTATTCCCGACAAGCCAGGAATGCACTATGAGCCAGGGGAAACGTTCGGTATTTTGTTTGTTTTGGAACTCCCAAAATTGACCAACCACTACCACTTTTCTTCTGGAACTACTGTGAGGGAAAAAAGTATTTGATCCCCTGCTGATTTTGATCGCTTGCCCACTGACAAAGAAATGATCAGTCTATCATTTTAATGGTAGGTGTATTTTAACAGTGAGAGACAGAATAACAAAAGTTTTCAATGCCCTGGCTGAGAGAAGGAGGTTCTCACCCAAGATTTGACAATACATGGCCCCGTCCATCATCCCTTTGATGGGGTGCAGTTGTCCTGTCCCCAAAGCATAAGTTTTCCACCTCCATGTTTGACGGTGGGGATGGTGTTCTTTGGGTCATAGACAGCATTCCTCCTCCTCCAAACACGGTGAGTTGAGTTGATGACAAAGAGCTCAATTTTGGTCTCATCTCAACCATAACACTTTCATCCAGCTCTCCTCTGAATCATTCAGATGTTCATTGGCAAACTTCAGACGGGCCTGTAAATGTTATGACAGTTATTGACAGTTATTTTGGGTTTCTTTCATTTGTGAATAATCGCACCAACTGTTGTCACCTTTTAACCAAGCTGCTTGGCGATGGTCTTGTAGCCCATTCCAGCCTTGTGTAGGTCTACAAACATGTCCCTGATATCCTTGGACAGCTCATGGTGGAAAGTTTGGAATCTGATTGATTGATTGATTCTCTGGACAGGTGTCTTTAATACAGGAAACGAGCTGAGATTAGGAGTACTCCCTTTAAAAGAGGGTTCCTAATCTCAACTTGTTACATGTATAAAAGACACCTGGGAGCCAGACATCTTGCTGATTGATAGGGGATCAAATACTTATTTCACTCATTGACATGCAAATCAATTTATAACTTTGTTGGCATGCGTTTTTCTGGATTTGTTTTTCTAATTCTGTCTCTCACTGTTAAAATACACATACCATTAAAATGATAGACTGATCATTTCTTTGTCAGTGAACAAACGTTCAAAATCAGCAGGGGATCAAATACCTTTTTCCCTCACTGTAATTTGGGCAGATGCCACTTCGGTCAACAATTTACCCCGCTGGCATTTTGGCTGTATTTGTGGGATCTGAACTCTATTTGGACACTTTGGGCACTCAGATCTGGGCTTTCCAAGTATATAAGACTTGTAGGGGGTTCCTATTAAGATTATGTATGTTTTGGGGTGTTTTGTGTTTTATTCTCTGTACCTCTAGTGCCTGGTAGCTAATTATCTTAAGCAACATACACTCAATTATCTCCCAGACACAGACACGTCTGGGCATGTTTTCCTATACTTTTGCTGGAGACCCCATGCTGGGGGTCTGTGTATAAAAGTGGGCCATCTGGCCATAATAAAACATTCCTGTTGTACCCTTCATTAAGTCTCCACTGATACTTGGGTATGCGAACAATAAAGCACTTGATTTTCTCACAACTTACTTGGATTTTGGGAGAGTACGAAGGAACGTACTATGCGAACGGGCTATAATCCCATAACCCTCTAAGACGTCGGGAGAGTGCAAATGAACGTACTATACTAAATACAAGTGGTTTGTGACACATTGACACTATTTGTATGTATAGCTCATGTTGTGTTAGCCACTATAAATATCCATTACAAGTTAAGAATGAAAACTAAAAAATATAAACAACATGATCAAAGTGCCTGCTCACTAAACATTCTAGAATTCCACAAACATTTAAATCATTATATTCTATGACAGTCCTATTTCTTTATGTACCTATCTCTGTCACCAATTTAAAAACACAGAATTTTCCTCTTAAATGAGATTACAAGCTGTAGTATTAAAATGTCCCTTGACTTAAAATACCTATCATGAACAATACAAAATATCTGCAGACTGTTAATTCCTATCTGCTAAACTGTTCAATGAAGCAGTAAGTATTCAAATGTGTCCAATTATTTGCTAGATCCTTCATTCCAGCTATAGTTTCTCTTTTCTCAGGAGTCAAGCAGAAGTGGACTTTTTACTACTTAAAAGGACACTTCAGGCACCCACACCACTTCTGCCCATTAGAGTGGTCTGGGTGCCAACTCCCACTACCCTTAACCCTGCAACTGTAAATATTGCAGTTTTCATAAACTGCAGTATTTACCTTGCAGGGTTAACTCCTCCTCTAGTAGTTGTCTACTAGACAGCCACTAGAGGGCACTTCCGGGTTTATAGCACACATTTTGTGTGCTATAGCGTTGCTGGATGTCCTCACGCTATGTGAGAACTTCCAGCGTCGTTGAAATCCCCATAGAAATAAATTGAAAGCATTTTTCAATGCTTTCCTATAGGGAGGTCTAATGCGCGTGCACGGCATTGCCGTGCATGCACATTAGGTCTCCCCCTGCCGGCGGCCGTGCATGTGCAATAGGTCTCCCCCGCCGGATGACATCGGCGGGGGAGGAGCGTGGGCGGACCCTGAACCAGCGCCGAGGGACATCGGAGCTGAAGACAGTTAAGTCACTGAAGGGGTTTAAAGCCCTTCAGCAACTTGGGATAAGGGGTGGGAGGGAGAGGGGACCTGCAGTGCCAGGAAAACGGTTTGTTTTCCTGGCACTGCAGAGTCGCTTTAAGGCAAATCTTGCTATTGTGCACAATGAGCTCATTCTTGTGTGAGAAGTCCCACTCATCAGAGATTATTTCTTAAAACTCTAAATGAACAGATTTCAACATTATTTTACCTATCCCCGTGATAAACTAACACAGATCCTGGAATTCTCAGCCTCCATAGTAAAATCCAGGAAAAAGAGAGGTAATTAGTTAAATGTTGATCCCAAAATAAATTATAAAAGATGGCCAATCCACTGTTGGCTTTATTTATAAAAAACTGTGAAGGAACATATCCGAGCCTGTTTCTACTATTTATAACATGTAAATGTTTATATGATCATACTTCTAATATGATTAAACATTGTACTGTGGTTTACTTACAAAAGTCTTCTTAGATTCAAATACATTTGATACACTGTTGCAGCCATGAAAGGAGCAGACAAATGTGGGTACACTATAGTGCTTCCATACAGGCTGCAGTGGTTACTGACAATGTTTTAGACACTTGGCTTTATCCAGAAAACTACGTGTACTATATAAGGAAATTACATCTACATTCTAACGTTATCTTAACATTGTGATACAAATTTTAGGAAGATAAAACCCCCAAAATATTCTCAACAGCCTTGCAAAAATGTATAAGGTATTTCAACTTTTATTTGATTGTTTATGTCAAGCCTACTGTAAAACATTTTATTTTTGCATTTACGCTAATATTTCAAAAGTTGTATGAAATATTGATAGTTGTGGAATATCATATAACTAAATTTTGCCCTCTCCTATCTCCAATTATTTAAAAGGTTAATAAATAAAGTAAAATAAAAGAAATTGTAAATACTACCATTATTTTAATGTTATAGGTACTGTTATCTATATACAAAATTACAATATTCTCCTAAAAGAATCATCTTAATGTTTATGCCAAGTATTAAATACATTTCAAGTTATTTTTTTATATCTTGGCAGAGAAAGGGTTAGTATGCTATAGACCTTGGTAAGTGTTTATAATAGTCCTGTTTGCGTATCATTATTAATTTTTTTTTTTTTTTTACTGTGAATCATGAATATAAGAAACAGTTCCTTATGCTTTAACTGTTGGTATAAGCAATATTTGAAAGCGTTATTTCCTTATTTCCACCTGGGTAGTAGACTTATTTATTCTAAAAAATAAAATTTTGACAAGGATCCAGTTGTGTGATTACCCTCGTGAACAGACTTAGCTATCAGTACAGTTTATACCTGGGCATTAAAAGATTGAAGTCATTGCAAAACACATTAATATCAATTTAACACCTACCATAACTTGAGCATTTATAATTGGTTCTACTGAGTGCCTGTTTCTGCAGATCCAGGCATTAAGCCAAAGGTCTTGAGACAAAAACAAATTCTTTCCCAACAGCATTCTCAATGTACTAGATTAATTAACACTTTCATCATCCAATTCCCAATGTAGATCATGTAATCTTTCCAAATACCCAGCTGTATCCCATTTAAAAGTCAGGGAATGCTCTCAAATTCGTCTTCTTCTTCCATTTTATGCCTGATGGTATCACCAATCATTAATAAAGTCTCATTGTATATTAAAGGGGCACTCTACACACTATAACCACTACAGTTCACTGGAACAAAGCAAAATGATTTCACAAAAAGAAAAGAACATTATCAGGGCGCCAGATTCCAGCTGTGGTATGATTGACAGATGCAGATTTTTGGAAAGTGATTCAACACTTCATAGGAGCCTCTCTACAGGTTTGGCATCAAATCTGTCTTCCTCACCACTTTAGGGGGTCCAATGTATCCAATTACTGGAAACTCACCAGGCCTTGATAAACGAACACTGGACGTCCTGGGGAAAGGCCCATACATTCGTCTTGTGGATCTGTGCTGGGATAGGGCACTGCTGTCCATCCGGGACCTGCTTCCTCACAGAACCCCCTTGACAATGGAGTTGTTCAGATACAATCAACATCGACACTTCTCCTCCTCAGTGATGATTCACCTGTTCGATTTACACAAACAGCTACTACTCGTGGAGGAGATGTAAAGTGGAACCATTGTACTACGGGATATCTACTCTTTACCAATTTCTGGTGTTGGAGGACAAATATCAAGTGCTGTGGAAAGAAACACTTCAAATTACTTTCACACCATAAGAAATGCTCAAAATATAAATTTTTTCCAAAATGATATAATCTGATATCCAAGATATATAATCTTATGCCAGCATATGGGGAACACCCCAAAAGACTTGCTGTTTTTGGAGATGCTCTGACCCAATCATTTGCCATCGCCATTTGGCCCTTCTCAAAGTCACTCAGTTCTTTTCGCTTGCCCATTGTTCCTGTACATCTACCATGTCACTGTATAGGCATATCAGTAATTATAATGTTACTGAATAAATGATGGGCAGCTGCAAATATCACCTACTGCCTAGGAGCAGGGCCAGTGCAAGGATTTTTGGCTATACAGGCAAAGATGTATTCGCCACCAAACACAAAAAAAAAACATTTTTACCTGTGTCCCTTAATCCCCTCTTACATTTCTTAAGTTCTTTTGTGTTTCTTATCCTCTCTTTTAAATGTATTACTCCCATAAGTAAGTCTCATCCCCCATGTTTTCCCTTTTTGTCTCTCTTACAGCCTCCTTTGTGTGTCTCCCCTTCAGCCCCTTTCTCTCTCAATTTTTGTTTGAGTCTTTTTCTCCATACCTGCTCATTTGTGTGTCTCTTTATCCATTTCACCCAACCTCTCTTTGTGTCTCTTCGCCTCTTTCAGCCCAGTTATGTGTCTCTTTCTTCCCTTCACTCTTTGTTTATTTCTCTCTCCGGCCCCTTGTGTGTGTGTATACCTCCCCTACCGAGTCTTACCAACAGTGCATATGCACTAACTGCACCAGCTCAATTCTAGAACAATATGAAGGGGCCCTTAAAAGAAATATGTTCAGGGATATCCTTCCACAATATTTAAAAAGGAGTGTAGGTTGCTATGGTGCTTGAAGTGTTCTTAAACAGAATGTGAGAAGTTTGTGAGAAGGTAAAGCAAGCGTAAATAAAAATCAAATACATAAAATCAATGTAATGTGTTATCTAAAATTATTATTTTTTTGCAGCTAACACATTTTTAATGCAGGTTTATGCTGCATGGGTGAGTACAGGTATTTCTAGATTTACATCACAGGTATTTCTAGATTTACATCACGTCTATGTTATTTCATTGATAACTACTAATGGCATTCCAAAACAGAATCTGCTTGTCCAGCATCTTGAACAGCTCTGTAAAATCCCCAAAACTATTTTGCTTGTCCAGCAGCTCTCGCAATTTGAAAAATTTTTACTAGTACTCTTGCTTTGTCCATTGACCCTTGCATCGTTGGCTCTATTCCCAGAACATCAATTTTGTTATTACTTGCCATTTTTTGCGATATAACTATTTTTCAACGATACAGAGCTCCCTTGATCAAGCACACAAACCTTTCTCCAAATTACGGCATTCTTGGACAATATTCATATGTTTTAAGTAATAAAATTGTAGAAGCGTATTACTAAAATGAGATTCTTATAGTCTCATGTATCTCTGCCTTCACTATTAACCTGATAGAGGAGCTAGAAGCAAAATGTGAGCAGGTTATTCTACAAGAGATCTTTATTAGAGTGTCCTGGGGCTCTTACTTTTTGGATTCTGTTCTGTTTTAAAGTTTAATATGATGGTAGTGTCAGTGACATGAACACATACTTACAGAAATAGCTCCAGAACACGTTAGATAGAGAATAACTGTGACAAACTGCTTGTGTGCTACAGAAATAACGACATCTTAGGTTTTTTAGAGACTTTACAATCCAAGAGGACAGAAGGTTGAGCCACTATCGGTAAACACTTCTAATGCTCTACTCAGAAGGTTAAAGGACAACGGTTCCTCCACATTGTTTTTTTATGAAGGAGGATGTTACGTTTCCTAATAGGTAGGACAAACTCTAGGGAGTCAAAGTTTGCTGAACCCAGTGAGGTTCCATGTGCTATCATTCCTCAGAAACACTATGGAAAAAGTGCACTAGGAAATTCAAAAATCAAATCTGTGCTCCAAATAGGTGTTCTATTCCCTGTTGTGATGTGAATTACTTGTTTTCTTTGTTACATGTTCCATCCAGCTGCAATGCCTTGGCAACATCAGTGCCTTTTTACATTGAATTAACTGTGTGATTATAGATTGTTTGTTTTGTTACCTTTTTGTGTGAAAATATTCTAATTGTGTTCTGATATTTACATCATTTTAGATGTATTATTATAGGTTAAAAACAAAAAACCAGGAGTGTTAGGAGGGCCTACAATGTCCAATCTCAGTACAGACAATGCTGGATTTTATGATGGTTACTACAAGGTGGACGAATATATACGCACAAATACATATACACAAACTTAGAAATCTGCAAATAGTGGCAAATACCTACACACATTTAAGCACACATCTTCTTCTATAACACTCTGCACTGACACCCTAATTCCTGCCATACATACGATTATATATAAATGACTTTTTCCCTTGTATGTGCGGTAGCCTTACTGAATGAGGAGCCAGGATTTTGTGTTTATATAAATACAAACTGATATGTATATAAATCTAAACAACAATAATATATATATGCTTCCACCTGCCTAGTTGGTGCCGAAATGTTGGGGGTATTGGGGACTCGTGTTTCTGCCATAATAGGCTTGTGAGAATTGTGGTAATTATTATTGTTTATTTTATTATGCCTTTACATTGTCACTTTAGAATTTTGCTTTATGTTTATTGTACCAAATGTTAGTCTATTAAAGTATTTGCATAGCTTTCTCTAGTGTTTCTAGTGTGCATTCTCTTCTTGGTATGTATAACAATAATTAAAAACTTCTAGTAAGGACATGCCAGTCAATGAGTCATACAGCCTTCTTTTGCATGCTCATGGGTGTTTAAAAATGTAATAAAACCGTAATGGTCTACAATGTCGATTGTGTAATATATTGCAGAAAACCGATCATGTGTTTCTATCATATTTCCTTTTCTACATTATTTATTATTAAGGCTACAGCAGAAATTTAATATGTTGTTATAGATGGGTGATTTAAAAAGCATTCCAGCATCTGTCTGGGGTTCATAGAGTGTAGGAGGTGGGTGGTCTGGTACAACATGCAGAGGAGTTTATAGTCCTATTCTAGAACTCCACTGGATATAGCACAGTGGTAGCTAAAATCACAGATTAGGTGATAGGGTTACTCCCAATGCCTCTTCGCAAGATTGCCTTAAAAGCATGGCATACAGTTCCAGTATCCCATGTTTAAGGGGCTCAGGTTAGATCAAAGACTTTCAAAGGGTGACAGTTCCTGTTCCAGTGCAGAAGATCGCTTGTGTACCGTATATGCCTATTTCTCTTTGGATATGCGCATGGTCAGACCATGTTGCAGTTTGGTCTGTGACCAGGTTATTGTAGTCTCTTTCAATCTAAGCAATGCTGTCAGATTTCTCCACCACTGATTTACCCTATTATAGAGGGAGACAAGCCTGAATTTTCTCAAGTCTAGTGAGTTTTCTACCACCCCCTACCCATATTCTGGTGTTGATTGTAATGCACTACATGTTCTTTCCCCCCCCAGATATACATCTACATATTGCAATCTACGATTTATACACAGGTTGTATTTTTTTATCAATCACCTCTGGTGATATATACATGTTTGTTTCCTTTTGGTTTTCTTTGTATTTTTAGTAGTCTCAAGGGAACACTATTACCAAAGGATTTCTTCGTGTTTTTAAAACAAATAGTGATTAGTTACTTTGTTTGTATGCAGTCAGAAAGACCTTGTATTTTGGTGCATAGTACCTGTATATTGGTTCTGATAGAAGCCTGGAGGTGGGTAAAGAGGACAACACAGGTCCTCTATAGTGTGCAATGCTTAGAGCAGGGTAGTCTAGTCTTTCACAGCCGTGATGGATTGTCCAGGTCCAACTCAGGAGAGGCCAGGGATGAGAAGGCCTCGGACCTCACTTGTTGAGATACCAGGTCCACCAGTGTTTTGAGGTATTGGCACAGCAAGCTGGATACTTGGAAGAGTTAGAGTGTTTGGAGTTTTTCCCCATTATAGGTGCTAAGTCAGTTTAGTATGCAATGGGCAGCAAGGGGTCTGTGGAAGCTCAAACTTAAGTGGACATCTTCCTTGGTGGTTCAGCCACACCCCAGTAAAATCATTTTTTGATGGTATACCATCCTCTGTCTACCTCTTTTGTATAGGGAAAAGAACCTCAAATGACTACTAGAGACTCATTGCACACCTCCAAATGCTGTGGTCCTGTGGTATTTTCATATTGGGAGTAGTTGGGGGATCTTTTGGTGTCTGTCTTCCAAGTTGTAACCCTGCTTATTACTACTGTCTCCGCCCTTAAGGGTTTTCTACCAATGAGCTAAAGAAACAATTTAACAAAATAAATCTGGCTGCTATGAGAGCAATGGCCACATTATGGCTTGTGTCCTCTGTTCTGTCTCTCTGGGAGGTCTGGCAAAAAATGACTGAAAAGGATAATAAGCTAAAGGATCAATTTACCAGCACTGTGTGTAACCCCACCTTTTGGGATTACACCTCTCAATATTAGCTCCAGGACACTTATTTTAGTAATACAGCAGTTTCATTGCTGTGGTACCTTCACCATTTACCACACTGGGTCCCTTTCCTTGTTTTCTCCACACTTTTTTTTCTTTGTCTTCTTCTTCTTTTCCTTATCTTAGTGTATAAAGCTTTAAAATTAAGAAGAATATATTGTAGAATTTGTTGACATTGAAGTGTTATAAGCTTGACCAATAAATAGAGTATTCTAGGTAGGTAACTTTAATTATGAGGACCTGCACTGTTTTGGACTAGAGCTATTATGACCAGTTCTCAATAGAAACTATGTGTTTGTTAGCAGTTGATACTTTCTGGCTATTTTTACTTTCTGCCTTTATTTTACTTTCTGCCTATTTATTACATATTGCATATTGCTCACAAAAACAGTTACAGCAAGTTCATATGCTCTACTAAC